AAACACACCCCCACCACCTCAGCTTCCCATCCCAACCTTCCCCCGCCGCCAGCCGTTGTCCTGTTGCCAGAAAACGTCGAGGAAACGACCGGTTTTTGATAGAAAATTCCGACATTCGATCTCCGTCTTCCGGCCACTAATCTAGGCAATCAAGGTATGAATTTTCATCTACTCTTTGAGCTCTAGCTGATGGTTGGGTAGGATTGAAATGATTTTTAGTCTAAGTAGATCAAAGCTCGAATTGAATTTTGGCCGATTTTCAAATTGAAATTCTGGCCACTTCCGGCCATTTTTCAGGGTATGTCTAAGAACAAAAGTGGCTCCAATCAATGTTCTGAACCAATGGTAGGAAGCTTGGCCGGCGGTTTGGAGTTTTTTCGGCCGCTAGAATTTTATCTGCACACCCACGCGTTGCCGGCATGTGGGCAATGTGCTCGGATTCTAATTCGGATACCGTTTGAACCTCGAATGGATTTCACCTATTGTGCATTATATGGGTTCTATACGTTAGAACCGTTGGATCGCTTCCAATTTAATACATGTCGATCTAGACACTCCTAGGATCGTATAGGATTTTGCGGATTGTGAATCGTAGTCCCGGATATTCCGATTCAATATGTCATAGTTTAATTAAATAATAACTGTTCAATTGGGCGGTCGTGTTTAATCCGACCGTTCAATCGAGACCAAACTCTTGGGACATATTTCCTAACTATAATGGAACCTCTAGGAACTCTCGGATCGGAATTTGGAGGTCGTGGACCCCACGGGGTCCTGGGTTGACTTTTTTGGGGAATTAATCGCTTATTGGATATCGGGTCTTTTCAGACCATTTCACCTGTTGGAAAGGTTGAAAATGGGCCTAGGAACTTTTCTAAATTTTGTACATGCACTTTTGAGGCCGGTGGTCAGGGTTTTGATTAAATATCCATGGTTGAGCAATTTTATTAATTAAATGTTTGAAATTGCTTAAATAGGTACTCGGGCTCCTTCAAACTTGCAGGAAGGACCCTCAAAGGGTCAAGCTAGCTTGGACGCCCAGTGAGTGGACTTTTGTTTTATAAATGATTTTATGCAATTAAGTTTCATTATTTGATCTTGAATAAGTATTACTGACAATGGTTTTCCTAGCATGATTTGTTGGATTTAAATGTTTTATTTATATGCTGCCAAGTCGAAAATGCAAAAAGGGTATGGAAAGTAAGAATTGAGATAATTATCAGATTGAATGGCAGCATGATTTAAGGATAATTAACAAAAAGTTTTATAAACTTTAATCTTTTTCAGATATATATATATATATATTTTAAACCACCATAGGTACCCAGGAATTATAAAATGTTGCCTCGGTATAAATGTTGCCTTGGAATAAATGTTGCCTCGGATGAAAGTTGTTGCCTTCGGTATAGTCAGCACGTTTGACTTTGCGCCACGAGTCTTAGGGATATCCGGATCGTGTGGAGCGAGGAATGCGGATCAGGTCGACTAAATGTCACCTGTATCCAGCAAGGTTGCGGCTCAGGTCGACTTTGTGTTACTGAGACTTGCGAGGACGTGTCATCGGAATTGACGGTAATATGTGGGAATAAACGGAAATAAGGGAATTGACAGTTAAATGACGGGTACACCTAGGTGGAAAGGATTTATTCTTTTATAATGTTTTCAAAAACGTCTAGATGTTTTAATTGAATGCATGACTACTAGTATGTATATATAAATGCAAGTCTTGGAAATTCTTGTACGAGTATATAAAGGAATATAATTGAGATTTCTAATTGTTTTTACGGAGGGGTTAGTATGTTCATATACTATTTTCAGAAAACTTTATTTTTGTCCACTCACATTTTTGAATGTTTTGCGCCCCCAAACAGTAGTCGTGTACCGGAGTGACCACCACAGGGCTGTCACCACATTTCATCCATCCATTCCGCTACGTAGGATTTCTTTTGTAAATATACTTTTCTTTGTAAATCTTGAATTAGTGTTGCTCTGAAGAATTGCCCTAGGATTTCTATATGGCCTGAGGCCGTTTAGTTTGGTTGAACTGTTTGGATGTAAATTGAATGCATGCTGGAAGTTGGGATATTTGTTTATGCTTTGTTGGCAGGTGGAAATTTTGGGAAATGATCAAATTACAGGGGAGACTCTGCCGAATTTTCAGCAGAAGTCAATCTTGTACTAAAAATGGAATTTTAGTTAAAAGGGCAATATGGTCATTTGTGCTCGACACCCACCAGGTGTCGGACACGCACAGGGTTCAGCTCGGATTCCAAAGTGGAATTTGGGTTGGGTCTTGTCACACTAATTGGTTGATGTCCTCCCCACAACTGCTAATTCTAGGAAACAAATCAAACAAGACCATCAGCACCTAAGACCCATTGCCACTCATATACAAATCAAAAACCAAATCCCATTTCTGGGCACTCCTATGGAACCACGACCAAAAACCTGAGACTTGACATGAAGCCTCCCATTTGGCCAGATATGACCTTGTGGACTTTGTGGTCCATGGCGTTGCAAATGAGCTTGAGCAAAGAAAATGCAAGTTGAGGCTTTTCATGAGCATTGAAGCTCCCAAATGAGCTTGGATACCACTCATGTTCACTCACCCATCGACCTCGGAGACCATAAACTTGCTCGATCTCTTCCTTGAGGTCTTCTGTCTTCGTGGTTGGGTGGTCTGGTTGAGGCTATAGGGTGGGGCTTAGGTCGAGGAAGGGGGTAGCTGCTTAGGGCTAATGGAGTTTTCTTTTTTATTTTATGTTTATAAATCTTTTTCTTATTTTTAATTAATATTTTTTAAAATGTTTTATTAATATTTTAAGCAATTTCAGTTTAAAAAGGTGGGTCCCACATCAGCCACATCAACGTCTAATAGAAATTCTAACGGTAAGTCTAATGCCGGAATCGGATTGCAAAAAATAAAAAAGCTTAGGGTATGTAATTGTTAAAATTGAGAGTATAGGGGCAAACATGCCTTAAAAATAAAAGTTCAGGGTACTAAGGCTTGGTTTGGGGTTGCTGCGCTTAAAAAATAAGTAGTGTTGAAAAGAAGTTTTGGAGATTTGAGCGTTTGGTAAAACCAATCCAAGCTACTTATTTTAAAATTTGCTGTCATCCACAGCCGAAAACACGAAGTAGCTCACAACCTGCTTCTAAAATCTGTTGCTCGGAGAAGCATGCAGAGGAGTTTAATGAAACTTTCAAATTGCCCATATTGCCCTTATTTGTTTCAAACAATTACACGCTCTATCCTCATCATCCCATGTTCAAGCCTCCCAAATGTTGTTCCTTTAGGATTTTTTGGAGTTGTTCTCTCTCTGCAACTTGGTCGCCTTCCTCAATCCCTCAAAGCTACCATCTCAACCCAAAACCCTACCAACCCAGCTCCCTATTTTACAGACCTAGAAGATCTGTGACTTTGAAGGGGATGAAGATATGCGACTTTGATGGGGAAAATATAGAGAGGTCGGGAGCGAGCGAGAGACAAGGATGGAGAACTAGAGAGAGAAAGTGAAATCGAAATTGAGAAGAGGAAGAAGAAAAGAGAAAGGAGAGAAGAGGAAGAAAAAAAAAAAAAAAAAAAAGGGGGCCTGGGAAGGAAGAAGAGGAAGAAAAAAGAAGAAGTGGGGCATAGGAAGGAAGAAGAAAAGAGGGGGGCGGCGGCCTGGGAAGGAAGAAAAAGAAGAAGAAAAGAAACTGGGCTTGGAAAGGAAGAAGCAAAGAGAAAGGAGAGAAGAGGGAGAAAGAAAAAAACTATACATTTTTCTTTTTTTATGATAATTTTAGCCTTTAAAAAAATTTCATCATCATGCCCTTTATTGTCATTATACACTGTCACATCACTTATATAAAAAAATTTACCAAACACTATAACACTACTTTTTATACTCATAACACTTTTACAAATATAGATTACCAAACATTTAGCTACTTCATTTCACAATTTTTTTTAAAGGCACAACAATACCAAACTAAGCCTAAATTGAAATTAACCCTAACGGGAACAACCTCTCTATGCGCTTACTTGTGTGGCCGAACATTTGCCTTTAGTTTCCAAAAAAGCTAAACAAACAAAATTGAGTCATTAGGTTATACTTAACTTGATAAACGAGGATTAAATGTAGCATAGATAGGATTAGAATAAACACATTATATATAAGAAAAAGGTTGTTTGGTGAGTCTCAAAATCGAAAATTCTGTGACCAACTTCTTTTCATTATCATTTCTTACAAATTGCTCCAAAATATTTCTCCACCATAAAAAAATAATAATGTCATTCTCAGTCACACTCACACTATCCCCCACAAAAAATCAAAACTCCACATGCCAACCAAAGAAGATAAACACTGACCAACTCCAAACACAAAATCTAGTCAGCACAATTCACATTATCCCAAAGCTCTTATCCATTGTAATATTTAATCATTGTTGGCCAGCCGCGGCAAACTGCAAAAGCACCAACTACCCTTTATTTTATCCTCACATTCTTCACATTTCCAGACCAACACTCTCTCTATCTCTCTCTTCCTCTCTGGTTTTCTTCCATGGCTGCTTCTCTACATTTTTTTCATCTTCTTCTTTTGATCTCTTTCTTTTTATGCAATCTTAACTTATCTCAAGCTAAACCCTCTCACCCACCAAATGGTCTAATTTTTCATGTGACCAAGGATGTGTCAACCCTCCAGTATATGACCACAATTCATCATGACACTCCACTTGTGCCCACCAAGCTTGTGGTTGATCTTGGCGGTCCATTCCTCTGGCTCAACTGTGGGTCATCATCATCTTCTAGCCGTCTGATTTCTCAGGGCTCAATCCAATGCTTAGCAGCAAAGCCAAAAACCCATGATCAGGGAAGCAAGAATTACCTCTCTAGCAATGACCACAACAAGAAGAACAAGAAGAACAAGTGTCATGTCTTCCTAGAAAACAGCATCACCCAGATGGCAGCACAAGGGGATTTAGTGCAAGACATCATGGCCGTCCAAGTCATAGATGGGTCATCAAAGACAGAGTCAGGTTCAATCACCACCCTTGATTCCAATTTCCTGTTTTCTTGTGCACCTATGTTCCTTTTGAATGGCTTAGCAAGTGGTGCCAGAGGAATGTTAGGCCTTGGAAGGACTCAGATTTCAATGACCTCACAAATCTCTACCAAACTCAGCTCCAAATTGCAATTCATGCTCTGCCTATCTTCATCAAATGGGGTCATATTACACAACAATGGCCACTTCGGCTCTGAAATTTCAAACTCACTCACATACACATACACACCCCTCCTCACCAACCAACATGAGTATTTTATCAACTTGAAGTACATTAAAATCAGTGGCAAGAGATTATCTCTAAACAAAGAGGATTTTAGAGAAGGGATTAAGCTAAGCACAACTGTTCCTTACACTACCATGGAGAGCTCAGTTTATGTTACATTTACCAGAGCTTATGAGCAGGCAGCTATGGCTATGAACATGACCAGAGTGGCTCCTGTAGCACCATTTGGGCTCTGTTTTAGTTCAGAACAGGCTGAGGGAAGAGGGGTTGGTCCAAAAGTGCCTGCTATTGATCTGGTACTGCAGAGTGAGATGGTGAAGTGGAGAATTCATGGTAGAAATTCAGTGGTTCAGGTGACCAACCAAGTGATGTGCTTGGGGTTTTTGGATGGAGGTTCTGACTTGAAGACTTCCATTGTAATTGGGGGATATCAATTAGAGGATACTCTTCTGCATTTTGATTTGAGTGCTTCCGTGCTGGGATTTAGCAGTCAGACAAGTTGTTCTGACTTGAGATTGTTAGATTTTGCGCTTAAAGATTCTTTGTAAATTAATGTTTTTGTTTGATTTTGGTAGAAACTATAATGTAAATTTTGACTATCCAGCTCACTATTTTCCTTTGTGCAGCAAGCTTTTATTATTGTTATGATTATTTTAATTTCCCTTTTTAATCGTCGGTTTTACACTACTCTGCTTGTGATGGTAGCATTTCTTTACTTTTGTCACTCATTAGTTTTTAAGAAATCTTAAAAGTATCAAATTTGAATGTGAAGGAGCACATGACATTTTGCTTTCAGAAAATCATACAAATCATCCATATATTTTAATTTTTCTTGATACAAGCGATAATCTACTCTAAATTAATCTAATCTATAGGAAATAGGACTCAAGCTTTGGTGGAAGGGGTCGGACTCACTACCTGGCCATCATCCCTACATTTACAGTTTCACCATGGTCCCTATGGATCCTATAATTTTCATTTCAACAATTTAACCATGTTCTTAAAATCTCTTCAGCATTGGCCATATTCTTTAACTTTTTCAGTCTCTCTTTTTCTGTATACTGCAAAGTCGATCATTTATGTTTCGTACGTAGCACAGTACCAGGTCTTTTTGTATATTTAGTTTGACAAGAAGACCTAACGTGGGTTCAGCTGGCAACTCCCAATTTTCCACGTGGGTGCACCGTGCACCCATAATATTCATTTACAATGACCTGCCCATAGTGCTCCATGAATATACTAAAGACTTTGTTATATTTAGTCATCAATATTAAAAAGACTTGCTAAAATCAAGTAAGCAACACTTGAAAACACCTATAAATTGGCATGCCCTCCCTCTCACTTCTTCAACCACCAGCCTCCATTCATTAGAATTATCACAATGGCTTCCTCCTCATTTCATTGCCTAATTCTCTTTTCCTCACTAATCTTCAACATTGCCATTACCCCCTCACTAGCCAAAACATCATTCAAGCCCAAAGCCCTTGTTCTTCCAGTAGCAAAAGACTCTTCTACCCTCCAATACATCACAACCATCAAGCAAAGAACCCCTCTTGTCCCCATAAAACTCACCATAGATCTTGGTGGTCAATCCCTTTGGGTAAATTGTGACGAAGGTCAATATATCTCATCTACCTGCCTGCCCATTGCGACTCAGCCCAATGCAAACTTGCTGAGTCCAACGCTTGTACCACAGAGTGCTATTCTTCACCTAGACCAGGCTGCTACAACAACACTTGTGACATCTTCCCCGATAACCCGTTTGCTGCCACGCTCACCGGCGGCGGTCAACTTGGTCAAGATGTTGTGTCCCTCCATTCCACAAATGGGTCCAATCCTGCTAGGGTTGTTTCCACACCCAACCTCCTCTTCAGTTGTGGTGACACATCTCTCTTGGATGGCCTAGCCAAAGGTGCCAAGGGCATGGCTGGCCTTGGTAGGTCCAAAGTTGGAATCCCCTCTCAACTAGCTTCCGCTTTTAGCTTCCAAAGAAAATTCGCCCTTTGCTTGTCTTCCTCACCAAGATCATACGGTGCGATGTTCTTTGGAGGTGGGCCTTATGTTCTGCTCCCCGGCATCGATGTCACTAAGTCACTCACCTTCACGAAATTGATCCTCAACCCCGTAAGCACCGCGGGTGCTTCTTTCGTAGGCGACCCTTCAACAGATTACTTCATCCAAGTAAAGTCCATCAAGATCAACGACAAGGTTGTTTCATTCAATGTCACTTCATTGCTAAACATTGACGCACAAGTCTATGGCGGCACAAAAATTAGCACCGTGAAGCCCTACACAGTCTTGGAGACCTCAATCTACAAAGCGGTGGTTAAAACATTTGTGAAACAACTCCCTCGCGTCCCAAGAGTGGCATCTGTTGCACCTTTTGGAGCTTGCTTCAGCTCCAAGAACATTAGCAGCACACGTGTCGGTCCGTTCGTGCCACCCATTGATCTTGTGCTGAGCGAGGGAGTGTTTTGGAGGTTCTTTGGTGCAAACTCCATGGTTCAGATGGCCAAGGACGTGTTGTGTTTAGGGTTTGTGGATGGTGGTGTGAGGCCAATGCCTTCGATTGTGATTGGAGGGCATCAGTTGGAGGACAATCTTCTGCAGTTTGATTTGGCTAACAAGAGGCTCGGGTTCAGCTCTTCATTGTTGTTCAGACAAACTACTTGTGCTAACTTCAACTTTACCTCCAATGCTTAGAGTTAGAGGAACGTCTTACTATGGCTATAGCTGGCCAAGCTGCAATTTAATCATTGTTATTTGCATCGATGCTCATGTATTTTTTACGTGATAAATAAATGGTGTTCATGATTGCTTTTGACGCAACCCATCATTCTCCAAATACATATAGCAAAAATATTCATTCGCAAATCTTAATAGATCAAGGCTTGGATGGAGTTAACCAAGCTGATAATTAAGGGAATTCGACAATTAATCTTAATAGATCAAGTCAACTGAATTAATAAAAAAAACTTATCACCAAGTAAACCAATGAGTAGTTTATATATAGTATCTCAATAATTTATGATATTTCTAGCTAGAGGCATTAAAATAACTTCTAAATTTTGGATATCAAAATATGTGATAGTGAAACCAATGGTCAATCTTCTGCAGTTTGATTTGGCTAACAAGAGGCTCGGGTTCAGCTCCTCATTGTTGTTCGGACAAACTACTTGTGCTAACTTCAACTTCACTTCCAATGCTTAGAGTTAGTATGGCTATAGCTGGCCATGCTGTGGTTTTTCATTGTTTTTAGCATTAATGGTCATGTATCTTTACGTGATAAATAAATGTGAACATGACTGCTTTTGACGCCAAACCCATCATTCTCCAAATATATTTAACAAAAATATTCATTCGCAGATCTAGATCGCAATGGGAAGAAATGCAATTTTTTTTTATATAGCTAAAACGTGTTCAGTTGGTAAGGTTCCTGCACTGTGTATAGCCCTATTAGTATTCGAGTTCTGCTATCAGTAGTCCTTATTGGTGCATGATCTGTAATTTCCTACATAAATCCATACCGGTAACAACTGGCAGTTGGGTGCTACATGTAAGTCATTTCGACTCGAGATTGTGGGTATGTCTTGGCGCTAGTGGTGAGAATAACCAATATTCCCCTAAACTTTATTTCATTAAAAAAGAAAAACAACAAAACATGTCTTGGGAAGCATGCACTTAATTTCTGGTTTTAGCCTCCCCAATATATTGCCTGCCCCCCCCCCCACACACACTCATCCATATAGTATATCTATTCTATTAATATTGAAAGACTTCAGACTACTTGAACAAGACTTGTGTTTTTAGGATATATTTTGGTACATTAGATTGTTTTTTAAATTGCTATTGGATTGCGTGAACATATTATAATTACAATGATACACTTTGATTTTCTCGTATTTGTACAAAATTCGATGATATTTTGGAAGTTACACTGAAATATCATAAGGGCTTTTAGAGACAAATTGCATAAGGGCATTTTGTGAAAAGACTATAAATCTTACGAGGTGTCCTTATGCAATTTGTCTCTAAAAGCAAAATTTTCATATAGAGAACTTATTTAGAGAACTTTTATGCAGATTTCATCAATTTTGAGAAGGAATTTTGATATAAAAAAGGTTATGTGAAAACAATCTAAAACTTTGGAGGATATCTAAATAGTTTATTGTTATTTGGATCATATTTATTGATCACATTGTTGATCAGTTCACTTCTTTAATATAGATATGACTATCTCTATTAGAAAAGTGGTCAATAAATATGGTACAAATAATATTATTATTTATGAAAATATGAAAAACCTTATGAGGTGTGAATGCAATAAACAAGTGAGATATTATGACGACGAAATAACTATAAATAATTAGATTGATTCTATTTGGTTGCTTTTGAGACTCCACCAAAACTTTACCTAATAATATTAATATTCTCACTTTATCCTCATTAATATAATACGACAAATGAACATCAAATTCAAAGATAACGACAAAGACCAACTTGTGTTCAGCAGAAAAAGAAAAGAAACCGCGGATCGAGCTGGCATTCGGCATGTAGATAAGATAACAATCTAAAATCGCCATCTTTGACAAACGTGCGTTCTTCACTTCGAACTCATAGACTTTTGTATTTGGGTCAAAAATGTTCTAACACTTCAAAAACCTATAAATTGGTGGCATGCCCTCCCTCTTCTTCAACCATCAGCTTCATTTCCCATTGATTTACAAATCAACATCCAACAAAGCCAGCAACAATGGCTTCCTCATTTCATTGCCTTCTCTTTTGCTCGCTGGTCCTCCAAATCATCACCACCACCCCCTCACTAGCCAAAGCTGCATCTGTCAGACCCAAGGCCCTTGTTCTTCCAGTCACCAAAGACCCTTCCACTCGCCAATACATCACCACCTTCAGCCAAAGAACCCCTCTCGTCCCCATTAAACTCACAGTCGATCTTGGCGGTCAATACCTTTGGGTTGACTGCGAACAAGGCTACGTCTCATCCACCTACAAGCCTGCTCGTTGCAACTCTGCCCAGTGCTCATTGTCAAACTCCAAGGCTTGTACGACAGAGTGCTACTCTTCCCCCAAGCCAGGCTGCAACAACAACACATGCAGTCTCTCCCCCGATAACACCGTCACCAGAACCGGCACGAGCGGTGACCTTGGCCAGGACATTGTGTCACTCCAATCCACAGATGGGTTTACTCCTGGTAGGGTTGTTTCTGTCCCCAATTTGCTCTTCACTTGTGGTTCCACATTTCTGTTGGATGGCCTGGCCAATGGTGTCAAGGGCATGGCTGGCCTGGGCAGGGCTAAAATTGGGCTTCCTTCCCAATTTGCTTCCGCTTTTAGCTTCCATCGAAAATTCGCAATTTGCTTGACCTCTTCAACAAATTCTAATGGTATTGTCATCTTCGGGGATGGGCCTTATAGTCTGCTTCCCGGAATTGATGTCTCCGAGTCACTTATTTTCACCCCATTGATCCTCAATCCTGTTAGCACTGCAAGTGCTTACTTCCAAGGAGAGCCTTCTACAGAATACTTCATCAATGTGAAGTCAATAAAGATCAATGATGAGGCCGTTGCTTTGAACACTTCATTGCTGAAAATTGACAGTGAAGGGTATGGCGGCACAAAGATTAGCACTGTGAATCCATACACAGT